TGGTGGTTCTGGACCTGCCACACCCTCGTTAGGAGGAAGTGCAAGGACTGCAGCCAGGCAGCCCAGGTGCAAAGCCCTGCTGCGTCATCCGCTGGCTGTGTGACCCCTGAGCCAGGAACTAACCTCTCTGGTCCTTACGTTCCTGGTCTGTAGCACAGGACTCACAAGGGCAACCTCCTCTGTGACCCTGTCGTGGGATTAATGGGTAATCCCTGTGAAAGGCTATCTCAGAGCATCGCATGGAAAACAGTGTGTGTGTGGGTGCGGGTCGGAGCCTGTGGGAGGGAGTTGGAGCCAGGTAGATCTGAGTTCAAATTCTCCTGTTGTAGCCCAGGCAGCGTGGCTCAGTGGTTGAGCGTCAACCTATGACCCAGGAGGTCACGGTTTGACTCCTAGTCAGGGCACATGCTCGGGTTGCAGGGTGGGTCCCCAGTGGGGGACATGCAGGAGGCAGCCGATCAATGATTCTCTCTCATCATTGATGTTTCTATCTCTTTCGCCCTCTCCCTTCCTCTCTATAGTCAATAAAAATATATTTTAAAAAGAAATCTCCTGTTGCCATTTCCTTTCCATGTAACTTGATTGCAGGCTCGATCACCAGCCTGGGTCGGGGCATATGCAGAGGCAACCAATTGATGTGTCTCTTTCACATCAATATTTCTCTCTCTCTGTCTCTCTCTGTCCCTCTCTCTCCCTCCCTCCCTTCCATTCTCTCTCTCTAAAAAAAAGGAAAAATATTGGTGAGGATTAACAAAAAAATAAAATAAAAGTTCACTGACTTTAAGATTAGGACCCTTCAGTGAATGGTTATATCTCAATAAAAAAGTAACTTTAAGGAACTAAAATATGGGAGGCAGCCAATCAATGATTCTCTCTCATCATTGATGTTTCTATCTTTCTACCCCACTGCCTTCTTCTCTGAAATCAATGAAAAATATATATATATGTAAAAAGAAACTAAAATATGAATAGACGTGACCACGCATTCACTGCAAATATAACATTTTCAATGTAAATAATAAATTTGGAATAACAGAATGGAAAACAACCAAACCAAACCAAACCAAAAACCCTGAGATGCAACTAAAGCAACACCTAGAGGACAATGTATAGCTAAATTGATAAATATTGATTTGGATGGCAGGAGGGGAGTCATGAAAGACTATGTGATTTGCCTGTCTTCCCCCCCCCACCCCCCCC